TCAACAGCAGTTGAGCCATATCATTCAGTTAGCATACCTGTACCTCAAGAATGTAATTCAAAAAGCCAAGACCACCAGAGGAATGCATCTCACTTATGGACACACCTTAGTCCCAATGTCAGTTCTATTACAAACTTTGGTATCTTTTTTGAGTTGATCGAACAGCATCACAAAATTATACCAGTTAGCAAGCCTCGAAAGAAGAAAAATCCTGGTCTATATGATCCTATGAAGGTATAATGATAGAAAATGCACTAAAAATGCTAACCATGATAAATGCATGTGCATAACTTTTAAAGTTAACCAGCTTTACAAGTGGAGAAAAATATGCTCAAAATAGCCTTTATTTTTAGATGAGATTCTTGTATTTTTGACAGAGTAAAACAAATGTGGCATGCATTGGGAGTTGAGCAAATACAGAAAAATATTGTCTCGTCAGGATTTTTGAAAACTGAGTAAAAAAAACAACTTAAATTATGAACTTTGGAGTATTGAAACATAACAATATAAACCATTCTATTGAACTTTTGACATGATTGTTAGTGCCTTTACTGATGATATAAATATGATGATTGCACTGCTTATAGCAATAGATCATATCCATTATGACGTTTCATAGCATAATTTAACTACTAAGACAAAAATGGTTTGCCTGTATTTTCTGGCTTTCTAATCAAGAAGCTATCAAGAAGCTATGAAAGCATTCTGGTCTTAGTAGTTAGATACATCATAACGGGTATGGTCTATTGTCTAACTAATTTTTTAGGGGCCTTGTTTGTTCTACAGAAACTTACAGATTAGGATTACTCTACAGATTAGGATTACCCTACAGATTAGCCTTTTAGACATTCTACTGAAGCAAGATCCCCATAGAATATTTCCCCATTCAACTGTAGTTTGTTTACGTATATTTTTGCATCATTCTTTGTATCATTTCTTGCCAATTACAGGCTGAAGCTTTGGAAATGGCTAAAATTTCACGACTTTAAGAATGATGTGTGCCACTATTTAAAAGACCTATATGTCAAGAAACGAACTGCTGCAGGTCATTTACTTGCATTTATGTTATCAGATGAAAGAAGAAACTGACAACCATATACCATTCCAGAAATTGAAGATAAAATGAAATCCATTGAGATGGTTCCAGTTGGTATGTTAAATAAAGTTATGCTACATACTATGCTACATACTGTTACAGTAATGCTACATACTGTTTTAGGAGTGAAATGTGTCCAAGCTGTAACCAGGTAGTGGAAGGCTTAGGGGACATTTACAAAGGATGTCCGAGCCGAGGGGAGGGGGGGTTGGACAGTCAGAACCAACTCAGACATAGGGGGGGAGGAGATTTCTTAGCAATCTGGATGTCTGAATTTTTAAAAATTAAAAAAAAAATCATTTTTGCCTCTATTTTGAACTTTCCTTCCCATTGTGAAATTAGCATTTTGAACACCTCCTAATATTTATATCTAATTCTTTTCTTCAATGATTAATTTAACAGTGTTTTGAAATAATAGTTTTCTTTATTTAACAACATCTCTGTGAATGGCCACTTACATTACGTTTCCAGTATTGACAGCTAAAGTGTTCAGCTGGAAATACTGCAGAAACGACTAATCCTGAATTGTGATAGTATTGCAGGCTTTTGGTGTGTACACTAGTCTAAACTGTGTGCTATAAAATTACTGATCCGATTGTTACTACGCATACGGCACACCTATACATGATACCAGTCATACCACATCTTCGTAATATGTGTATACAGCTACACTAGCTGTGTATGCTAGATACATACTTTTATAAGTTTAATTGTTGTATAGCATATAGTGCCTACATTACGCTAGCCCCTACCACAACCTCGCACCACGCCAAGCAACTACCACCAGATAACATTGAGTAGCAGACGTCACAGGAAGATCAAGCTGATATGCACAACGAAAACTTGCCCCAACCCACAACGCCAAATACAACCCTTTCCCCCTCCACATCAACTCAAACCACACCTAGAAACAAATCCACCAACCTGCCCAAACAACCACTTGCGGAATGGACTTCAACAACAAAGGATTAAAAGAATAACAAACTTTAATATTCTGAACAAAGTCTTTCAATACTGTTATATGTTATTAACAAGTTAAAGACTTGAGGGGAGACAGAACATCATTATCATTCAAAGGCCTGGTAACTAACAGCCTCTTTGTGTATTTAACTCTCTTTTGACAGGTACTATTTTATGTTCAATAAATACGTATGAAGGAAATGCATAAAGTTCCATTTAAAATCTTGGGTAGTTTTTTCCGAGCACATGCATCAAAGAAGAATTGAAGGTTTGGGTGACCAGATGGTAAATTTGTAGAGATTTTGTTTTTGTTTGAAGCAGAAAAAACTGGGTATAAATGATGTAATTGTTTCCTATGATTGTTGGAATATTAAATTTGGATAAAAGGATGATAGTGAGCTCATATAAAGTAAAATTAGAAGTTTATATAATACATCTGGCTGACCTTCATACTACATTGTTATTGCAGGATTCAGAATTATACTCTAATTAAAACCTGTGAAACAAACAAGACAATCATAATAATAATAAACTTTATTTAAAGAAGGTATATAGTACATGCACACCAGTTTAGCCAATGCTAATCTTCCACTGGGCCTTCTATATAGAGGACGATTACAAACACATGACATATTATGTATACAACATTACATGTTGCAAGAAAGGGGCTATAGATAGAATTTGGTGAAGATAAAAAATAATTAATTCCCAGGTGGAACTATCAACGATACCCAGAAAGTGTTCCAGTGTAGTAAACGTGGCAATCCTAAAACAATCCTAAAACATTCTGGAACTTTACCATGTGTTACAGGTAATCAGATCTCCCCACTAAAGAGAGGTTGTCTTAGATATTTTATTAATGAAAATCCTCAGCATATTAATGGGATTAAGTCTCAGTGTCATAGTTTCTAAATGATGCACACTTGCATGTCTGTAGTCTACTTGACTGATGGGTTTTATCAGTTCTAATCAAAGGTGGAAGGACTTCAGGATACGTTTGCTTTGAAATTTGCTTCTGTTGTAACTTGTAACATCTTTCTATCAATGGACCCCTCAACTATAGCCCTTGACAATTGGACCTAAAGAAGAATTGTAATTAATAGTCGCATTCCAATATATAAATAAGAAATATAATATAATAGTGTCGGTAATTTGTAAATACTATTTACTCTCTCGATAGACATTGCCACATAAAATGTGTCAATGGGCTAATCCCTTGTGTCCCTCTAGTATATGTTGAGTCTTGCATGGGAAACTTGAGCCTTTTTGGGCTTTAGGTTTTAACAAACAGGCAGCTATATCAGCCATCTATAGTTGTTATGACAAAAATACAGCCAATAGATGAGTTACTAACCATAATTGTATGACACTATAGTCTAGAACTAAGTGTCCGTTCAGAGCTTTTAGACATACTTCTCTCCATTGAAATTGTAATATATACATTTATAAAATTCTTCACTTGGGTTTAGTAATATTAGGCCAATTACAATATTGAGAGATTCTATTTTTAGGTACACTTTAAGTGTATTTGTCAACCATGCGGATAGTGAAATATTTTGTATTGTTAAAAGCACCAATAAAATCATAAACGCGCATTACTTACCTTTAGAAAGAAGGCTAAACAGTTTGTCACCTTGATGTATATCGGCTGTAATAAAACAAATTTAAAAAGCCATACCATTACCGATATTTTCTTGAAGGTTTCTTCTTTAAATATCAATTGTATCAATCACATGAAGATGAAACATTTGTGCATACTACAAATAATTCCAATGACATACCCCTTGTTTAACAAACATACTTGGTTTTCAAATATTGTCCTGAAATGGAAACATCTTAACAGACCCAAGATCAATATGTCTACAATATGTAGGCTAATGCTCGGCAGCAATAAAATTGGTCTTTTATTTGGTACCTTCTTTCAGATGGAGCATGCAAAATACAAAGAGTTTGCAAATGATATGCTTTTTAAAGAAAAATCATACCTCAAAAAAACATTGGCTCAAACAAAATATTGTGTACATCAGTCATTGTCTACATCCAAGTAAATATGCAATCAAGCAGCGCTATGCATGCTTTCAATTAAGGTTTGAATATGTTTCCTGCATAACCAGAGGTAATCATATTGAGAAATATATATGTTCATTTATTATTTCACAACTGTCAGTCTACAGTTTTAAATGGGTGATACAGGGTTTACAATGCAAAGAAATTAATATGATGACATATTGACAGCTACAATATAGAAGCAGAGTGAGTATATTACAATGTTTCAACAAAACTAACAGATTACTAGTGTTTATTTATGGGAAAGCGGTATTGTTCCCGTAAATGTCTTTTGTTCATGCAGTGTGACATGACTCGAGGGTTTGCCCATAGGCAGCCCAAAACTTGTGTTAGTATCATGATCAGTATTGTTTGGTATTGTATTAAATTCCAATTGGTGTTAGACTCTCCCTATTCCTCTTAAACGTGTTGCGCGCCATATTGAAATACATCAATAAGTAATAAATACATAAGGTTGGCAACTTCATCTTGGATTACGAACATACCGGCCACGAAAAAATTAAAATACTTTTGATGAACTGATATACTTTATTATTAGTATTTATATTATGTTGAACAGTTTTAATTAGGATTAATAAGGACACTTAGGATTAGGCACGGACAGTAGAGGCATTGAGGGATACTGTGGGATAAAGTAGGATAGAGGGAGGACAAGATGGCGGCGTAAAGAATGTAAGCTATTTTTTCGAGAGGATAAAAATATAACGTGTAAAAACAAGAATATATTTGGCGACGAGGATAAAAAAATAAACAAAACCAACTCGTACAACTCGGGCATCTATACACCTCGTAAGAAGATAAATTCATCGGACACGTAAGCGAACATATCGTGCGGTTAATATATATAAATATCAACAACATCAAAATTACAATGTCAATGGCTAGTGGCCATACGCTTCACTTCGACCCAGATCTTCACCCAGATGATACGCTAAAAGCTTTTAATGAATTTATACAATCATTCTACCTACGTTACGAAGCACAATACCCTGATCCACCAAAAGTGTCTATTGACGCTGCAATTGAACGATGGAAATTAGCCAACGAAGACGCCAAACCAACTCTGGAACAATACGATACGCTCAGGAATGAGTGGAGATCAAAAGATCGAGTTGCAAAATTTCTTGGAATGTTTTCTTCGAGACGAATGTACGCGGATTGGCAAGTTGCCGAACCCAATGTAACAAAACGAGCACAGGCGACATGGGAGTCTTTCGTTGCCCAAATGCAAGCATATTATAAGCCAACAGAAAACTCTACACTTAAGAATCACCAGTTCCGCACACTTACTCAAGCCACACAGGAGGCATTCCCTGCGTTCTGTAATCGTGTGTACAAAGAAGCCCAATACTGCACCTTCAAATGCCACAATGATGACTGCACGGCAGAAGATACAGCAATTCGAGATCAGATAATTATCGGTACAATCCATGACAAGATCAGAGAAGAGGGCCTCAAGAACTCTTGGGACCTACAAAAACTACGAAAAGAAGGAATGCAAATCGAAAGTGCAACTAAAGGGGTTAATGAGTTAAATACTGAGAACCCAATTAACAAAATGGGGAAATATTCTTATAAAAACTTGAAAAAGAAACAGCAAACAGGAAAACCACGAACATGCTACTACTGCGGACAAGACATTAAAGTATCTATAATAGAACATGTCAAAACCTGTAGAGCGAAAACCAGCAAATGCAATTTCTGCGATACAATTGGGCATTACGAGTCTGTTTGCAGAAAAAAGAAAGCTGTCAGAGAACTGACAACCATCAACCCAGAATCGCAGCCTCGAGATGAGGAAGACGCCGAAGAATCTGGTATATACAACATCAACATCTTCAGAGTCACCGATACTAACCCATACCAACAACACAATACCAGTCAAAGAAGGAAGGAAGATTTCAAAGTGCAAGTCATTGTCAACAATAGCCTTGCTACTGTCTTAGCGGACACTGGGGCAAGTATTAGTGTTTGCGGAAAGGCAGAAGCTAAACGATGGAATCTTCTTTCGAGAATGGTCAAGACCCAAGCTAAAATCAAACCATACAACAGCCCTCCCATACCAATTTCTGGCACCACTAAATGCGCCGTAACGTTCGGAAATTCATCCATCCCAGTAGAATGGCACATTATCGACAACCCCTGCGAACCAGTACTTGCAGGACGAATCGCAGAAGAGCTTGGTATCATAAAGTTTGACGCCAAACCAACAGTTTTTCAACCTGTACAAATGATACACTCGACTGACAATAAAGAAACACTGCAAAACATTTTGCAACAGTTCCCACAGAATTTCAAAGGCTTGGGGAAGTTGAAGAACCACCAGGTCAAGCTCCATGTAGACACCAGCATTAAGCCAGTCACCACACCTGCCAGACCAGTGCCATACCACTTGAAGGAACGTGTCACGAAAGAAATCGAAAAGATGATTAAACAAGACGTGATCGAGGAACACCCAGCCACAGAACCAGCCCCATGGATTTCCAATGCCGTGATAGCGCCGAAAGCCAACGGAGCAATACGTATGACACTTGACGCTCGTAACGTTAATAAAGCCATACAATCGTCCAACTTACCCATCCCCCGGCAAGAAGACATCAAAGCCAAACTCAGTGGAGCAAATGTGTTCTCAAAGATGGACTTTAAATCGGCTTTCTGGCAACTAGAACTGCACCCGGACTCGAGATATTTGACAGTCTTCCACGCAAATGACAAACTATACCGATATAAACGTCTCACCATGGGAGTAAAGCCTGCACAAGGAGAACTTAACATGGCTCTTCAACCCTTGTTTGCAAACATCCCCCAAGCCCACCTTATCCATGATGACCTAATCGTGGCAACCACAACAAACGCAGAACACAACGAAGCAATCGAAGCCGTCATGACCGCCATATCAAACGCCGGTATTACACTAAACCCGGATAAGTGCACGTTCGGAGTACCAGAAATCGAATTCTGGGGCCTACGTATTGGATCAGATGGCGTACGACCCGATCCGGCCAAAGTTGAAGCTCTTGACCATATGACACCGCCACAATCCAAGGAAGAGTTGACAAGTTTCCTGTGCATGATGCAGTCCAACTCAGATTTCATTCCCAACTTCGCTCAATTAGCGGCTAAACTGAGAGAATTAACGAAGAAAAACGTCAGATTCGAGTGGAACACAGAACACCAAACAGCCTACGAAGTCCTGATTGCGAGATTCAAGCAAAATACGCTGCTCCAATACTTCGAGATGAGTGCACAAACGTTTCTATTTACGGATGCACACCAGACAGGGCTCGGGGCGATGTTAGCGCAAGGCGACAGCATTGAGAACGCACGACCAGTGGCGATAGCATCGCGAACGACTAACGCAGCAGAGCGAAGATATCCGCAAATTGACTTGGAGGCACTCGCAATCGATTTTGCTTTGAGAAGATTTCGACAGTATCTCGTGGGTTCCCCTACCAAGATCCAGGTGATAACGGATCACCAACCTCTCTGCACGATTTTCAATGGAAAGCGCCAAGGGTCCATTCGAACTGACAGAATTAAGCTCCGCCACCAAGACATACGTTTTACCGTGACATACCAGCGTGGGAAAATCAACCAATCCGACTACCTCTCACGACATGCCAAACCAATCGAGAAGCTGACGTGCCAGGAACGGCAAGAGGCCGACGACCTCAACAACCTACTGTATATGCTTCACACTACCCCGATCATCGACTGCATGGGTATTGGAACTATTGCACAAGCCACCCAGAACGATCCAACCCTCAAAAAGATTGCAACACTCGTCAACCAGGGGTTAACCTGGATCGAAAAAACAGAGTCGAAAGAAATCCAACGTTTCCAGAAAATACTTCCAGAGCTTACGATGACCGCAAATGGTATTATTCTGAAAGGCGAAAAGATCGTACTTCCAAGTAACCTCCAAGATACGGCCATCCGACTGGCACACAGAGGAGCTCACCCTGGCCAAAGTGGACTTGAACGACGACTCAGATATCATTTTTTCTTCCATAATATGAGTAAGAAAATAGAAGAATTCGTCAAATCATGCAACCACTGCAGTATGTTCATTGACAAAAAGACAAAAGAACCCATCAAACCACACCGGGTTCCCGAGAAATGCTGGGATACTGTATCAGTCGACCTATTTGGCCCGATGCCAACATCTAAGCACGTGGTCGTCGTACAAGACTTAGCATCACGATTCCCAGCCGCAAAACTGGTTACATCGACAAAGGCAGATAAAGTGTTACAAGCTCTCAGCGAAATTTATACAACGTATGGCAACCCCGAGGTCCAAATTTCCGATAACGGGCCTCCCTTCAATAGCGCTCAGATGCACGACTTCGCAACGAGTAAGTCCATCAAATTGCAGAAGGCTCCACCACTTCACCCATCCTCCAATCCAGTCGAAACGTTTATGCGTCCTTTGGGAAAGGCCATGAAAATTGCATATCAAACCAGGGCTCCTGAAAAAGAAACATTGGAGACAACACTAAACAACTATAGACACACACCTCACCCAGCAACGGGTATCCCTCCCGCAGCCATGATGTTCCGAGATGGACAGCGCCACGACTTTCCGAGAACTTACGCAACCGAAGAGGACGTGAGAAGAGCTCGGGAAGCAGACAAACAGAAGAAAACTGACAACGAAGAAAAAATAAACTCTTCTAAATACAGGAAGAAATCAAATTTCAACATTGGTGACAAAGTTCGTGTTAGAAATTACCGAAAATCGAGGAAGTTTGATCCCGTTTTCCTCGGTGAACCATTCACGATCATCGACATCAATGACGAAGGGAACAAACTCATTGTCGAACATCAAGAAAACGGGTTTTCGTTGTGCCGTCACCCAGATGACGTCAAACCATTTATAGAACCAAACTATATCGAAGTCGAAGATGTTCAATGGCCAGTAGGAGATGAAGGAGACGCGGCGGAAGATCTCGGGATTGAAAAACGCGGAGAAACTGCACCAACACTGAGACGTAGCGAGCGGAAAAGCCGGAACCCCAATCCACGATACATTTAGATACGTATCATGAAGCTATTCATGAAACTGATATAAACGTGGGGATGATGAACTGATATACTTTATTATTAGTATTTATATTATGTTGAACAGTTTTAATTAGGATTAATAAGGACACTTAGGATTAGGCACGGACAGTAGAGGCATTGAGGGATACTGTGGGATAAAGTAGGATAGAGGGAGGACAAGATGGCGGCGTAAAGAATGTAAGCTATTTTTTCGAGAGGATAAAAATATAACGTGTAAAAACAAGAATATATTTACTTTGTTTTTAGAAATAAAACATGATAAAAAATAATAGCACATGAAACCTTGATAATACCACTATCTACTCATACCTAAAATGAGTTTCAACATTGTCGGAAAGTTGAGAAATTTGCACATATTTGCGGTGCTTCGGCAAAAATTTTTTCTTCTCCATGCGGGATGCCAAAGGTTGGCGTATTCGCCATATTTTAAAAAAAATATCGATGATCCAATTGGTCGAAAAAATAGACAGTTTATGACGTTTCTTGCAGTGAAAATGGGCCAACAGGAGGGGGGGGAACACAGGAACAAGATTTTTTGTAGATGAAATGCAAAACAAAATTGTCTGTATAGCATCTTTTGTCGATTACATTGCGAAAAAGTACCAAGCGTATACAACTTTGTTAGTCACTGTAATACAGTTCAAAAGGAAAAATGTGAACCGGAAAATTCGGTAAAAAAATTTAGGTATTATACTATTATTACTGAATATTATCACATTTAAAAACAATTTAAAAACATTTAATAGACATGTAGTTGCGACACCGAAACGCAAAGCCGACAAACAACATAACTTAATTACACTGTAAACAAACAACATATGGCAAATATCATATATAGCTAGCATTCAATTGCATACCTGTTTATTCCGTGTCTTTACGAAGCTTGATTATAATATTCCCATCCATCCTTTTTCATACGGTGGACAACGCTGAAATGAAAAAATACAAAAGTGCCAGAACATGGCGGCGAGGAAGCCAAGCGTAATTGAAAAAATCCAGAATATATGCCATGCTTTCAAATCCTACCTCGACTCTGTCACTCTGTGACCACGTGACTATGTAACTCAGTATAATATATCAGCCGGCCTTGGCTAAATGTCAATCTGGCAGGAAGCATCTTGCTGAACTTGTGTCAGTTGCACAATGCCCGCTATATCATAGGCAAAACTAGGCGAAAGTCGGGAAAGGGCCCTCGAAAGTCTCTAGCATTCATTGAGCATGTTCATATGCGGATAAAAATATTGAAGAATGAGGCGATTATACCAAATTTAGAAGACTTAAATGTCTCATGCTGTATATAATCCCCGAGCCGGCGCGAAGCGTTGTGCGAGGGTACTAATTCCGCTGGGAGAATTATTACACCCGGGTATTGTGACAGAACATAGCGGAATCCAAAGTTGCTCAAATTCTATGTCGTGGACCGTGGACGTTCAATGGTCATGGTACTTGTGCGCATGCGCGAAATGTAAGCGAGTAAAGTACTGGTAATTAGTAACTCGCTGATTGGCTAAGATGAACAGTTTGGATTAAAACTAAAACGTCAGAGATTTAACTGTCTTTAAAAAACTTTTTTTAAAAAGACATTTCGTATCAAATCAACTCTGCTGAATACAGCATTTTTAAAAGAAAAAAATAAACACTCTTAACAAACGAGAAAATTTTCATTTGGAAGATGGCGAATAGGGTAAGTGAGAAGCAAAAAGATGGGAAAAAAGATGCAGATAATGATGATGAAAGGCTGGCAAGAAGAAGGATAAACAACCGAGCCCTGTTGGATGCAGAAACGCCAGAGGAAAAGCAGTGTCGGTTAGAAAAGCAAAGGGCTGCGTACAAGAGAAGTATTGAGGTAAGTACAAGCGATGAAAGAGGAAAACAGAAAGAAAAAAGACAACAAAAATCTCATCAGGAAACCCCGAAACAAAAGGAATGTCGTTTAGCGAAACGCAGGGCCGCTTATAAACGCAGGACCGAAGCAAATACTAGCGAGGAAATTGAGATGCAAAGAGGGAAAGAACAGCAACTTTTACAACAACAAACGCCAGAGCAAAGAGAAAGTCGTTTGGCAAAGCGTAGGGCTGAATTTAAGGTCTAACCAAATATTTAAACATTGCTAAAGATGCCGCTGGCCATCACAATGTATGAAAACAATATATATAATGACTTTTTTTCTTATAGTGACTTTTTTTTTCTTATAGGGGCTGTTTGTTGGTTGTGTGGCCAGCGGGGCCACACAAGGGTTGTGTGCCCCCAGCGGCACACTGGGCACACAACACAAAAACGAGGGCAGCAAAAGCCCTCAATGCAATTTACGAACAGCACATTTGAGAAGTTTGGTGCTTAAACTTCTCAAACGTGCAGTCTAGGCTACGTTGACATGTAATCTCTATACCATCATTGATTTTTAACGTTCAACATCACGCATTCTATACACAAGCAAAATTAACATTACGGGTTAAAAGGTGATTCAATCAAAAATGAGATATCAGCATGTGAAAAATGAGCCAATAATGTTTTCAATCTTAATATCGTTCTCAACAATTCGACTACCCGATGAGAAATCACTGTATGTCAACGTAGCCAAATATTGAGAGTGTTATTTTAACTGTTATATGTAAATATTAAATTTGTTCTGTTTTAAATTGTTATATTTTATTGTAAATACTTTATTTTGTTAAATATAATATGATTTTTACACTGTTTCGGAAATTATGTTGTTGCATTAAGGTACGGCGAGGGGTCACTGCATGCAATGTATTTCTAGTAATGATATATACACATACCTGAAATCAGGCCGGCTGTTCCAAAATGCATGTGTAGTCGAACTTTGGTTTTTTAACGGTAGATTCCATTCCAAATCGTTTTTCAAAGAAGAATAAAACCAGGCCTACTGCCCACAAGGAGAAAATTCAAGCAGTCTCCGCCAAAATTACAAGATTCCACTGAAAATGCTTTCCAACCGCGTACACGAGAATTGAAAAAGACGACAACGTAAATCCAGCAAAAAATAAAACACTAGGGCAAGCATTTTTTCACAATTTCCACTCCATTACTTCATAAAAGTCATATCTAAATAAGATATTAAAATTTACATTGTCATTCAACTTAAAAAAAAACAACACTAGATCAACGAATAACGACTTCAATGCTCGAAACTATGAAACTTAAAAAGACGACTAAAATTTCGTTAAATAGGAAAAAAGGTCGTAGAAATGAATAGAAATCGATCTTACCCTGTAACCTTTGTTGTTTGCAAAGTTTTTCAACCCGAAAATAAGCGTTGATTTCAATAAAAATATCCAAATGTCGAACAACCGTCAAAGCATGAAAGCGTGCTTCAAAAATGAATGCCCAGTTCGATGTGCGCACGCATGTATCATAATTATTATTCCAATTTTGCACTTCCGGAACATATATTACGTAAATTACACATTTGTGCCGCATCTACGCGCGTACGCGAACCTCCCACACCTGACCACTTCGTTATCAGTATGGTATAACGGGTGAACGATCACAGATTTCATAATAATTTTTATATTTTTTAAGGGTAATTTCTAATTACGAATATTGCATAAATGAGTTTGTGCCCATAAGACTTATTTTGGATGCCGCCTCAGCGGAAAAGCTAAATCTTACCGCAATCTCATTGGGAATGCTAGTTCAAGATGTTTGGGAAGGAAAAGTGAAAAAGCAAAATAAGGATCATGGTTTAAGGTTTTTAAATTTGAAGTAGCGTTCGATTAACGAAATACACAGAAATGACACTGCAGTTTACAAACTAAATAATGCAACAATTGAAAATATCCGTTTACTCTGTAGTCATCGAACTGGTTGGATTTTTAATTTCTCTCTTGCCTCCATGAAAGCAGTTACATTGACACACCTTGTAATTCAAAGTAGCAGAGAAGCTGTCACTATTGATGGCCACCATCTTACCATGGTACTCAAAATAGATATGACAACAATACCGTCAATCACAATAAGCACATGTCATAAAGAAGTAACCCTTGAGGAAATCATGGGAGTCTGTATCACCGAAATTTCTTTACGATTAATAGACGAGGCAATGTGTCTTCTTGAACATGCGTCGCCATGCACAGGGCATGCCATAAGCGTTGAAGATGAAAGTAAGTACCTAAAATCGGAAGTCGTATGATCAAATGCTGTGATCGTGAGATCGGAAAATTCAGAATGTCAGAAAAGATTGGTCTCTACGTCCTGTTTGCTATTTCGATTTCAAAGCAAATTGTGTAACAACTGTTTATATGTAGCCAAGCTCTATCGCAAAAGATACAATAAACGAAAATTGGCATCAGAATCCAACTACTTCCAACCTGAAAAGTGTAATCTGCGATTCATGGATCAAGAAGGTCTTGAAAGAATATATACCGAGATGGTGTGAATTATGTGCGCTACTCCTGACCGGGCGCAGGGCGTTTCAAAGGATTGTCTAATGGAAAGGCGCACAAAAAGCGCCTCAATGTGTTTGCATCCTGCCATGGGTTTACGATGGTGGTGAGACCAGCATTTGGCATCACTTCCGCACTGACCGTGATGGGATCCCCATTTGAGTTAACCCATTGAACAGTGCGAGTTTGTGATGCTGCCTGGGTCACTTGTATGTCAAATTCTTCGTCATATTCCCAGCCCAACGGTACAAAATGCTATTAAAAAGGAATGGTGGGGGTTATACTTATATCACTAAGGTGTCATGACAAATGATCTCTACCGCAAAGAACACAATATAAGGGGCAAGACTATATAACTGTACTATAACTAATCCATGTAGGGGAACTCAGTCGTCAGCAGGGAAGCGAGTGCCTTGACCCAGTGAACCGGGAGGGTTGGTTTAGATACCCCGTTTTCAAGGCAAACACAACACTGTGACATAGGAAAAAACAAAGCGAGTAAGAAACAAAAAACACATTTTAGGATTAGAAGTCTTGATAAAAAGGATGAATATTTTTACATACG